ATACTTACCGGTTTTCTTACTCTTCAATGCATTAGCTATTATTAAAACGGATTTAAATACAGGTTTACATAAAATTAAACAGCTAAATTCCCTATTGAAATCTTTTCACATCTCTATGTTGACGTTAATTTAGCCATATATTTCAATTGAATCTTGTCATGTAATTTAACATGTAATGGACTATTTTTTTAAAATTAGTATTTTGATGACTACACAGGAATAGAGAACATGATTCAAAACGATACAGCTGCTCTAAATTTCCCTTCAGATACTGTCTGTGGTTTATCCTTTTTTATCTGCTGGTCTAAGAGACTGGACTTGACCTAGTTGTGTCAAACTCGTTTTAAAAACTGAAGTAATGGAAAATGTAAATACTGAATATACGCTTATATAGTATAATTACTTTGCAATGAAACAAGATACAAGAAAGTATTTCATTCACAAGGTTCGGGTAACACGATTACTCAAGGGAAATGTAGAATATGCGAGAGTTTGTCGGATACAAGCTGACAAAAGATTGAATGAGGGTTGGGCCGCTGCTGTCGCTGAACAGTCTTGAGGAACTCAACATGAATGAGCATCTCACATCTACGCGACATTCTTTGTGTGAGCTCATGTAATACTGGGACCTGCTCAAGATTAAGACATGGATTTGGTTTTGGGATTTTTCTGAAAAGAATGTCGTGTTGTATATTTTGATTGATAAATGATGTTGTTTGTGCGACTACTAGTGCATTATAGATCAAATTAACATTAATGTATTGTATTTGATGTTGAACATTTTGAAGTTAAGCACTCATATGTTAAATGTGGGATTTTTTGGATTCATCTGTATAGTTGTAAGTTATATAAATTGTTCTACTATGCGGTTGATACGATTTCACTTTAAATACTAGGTGACATTTATAATAAGTATATATTTTTATATTGACTGAAAAACAACATTTTGAATACTTATTCACGTCAGGGAGTAAGTTCTCTGAGTAATATGAGCTGTGCCTAATTAGAAATAATACTGAATGAAACCCTGCGTAGTGGAGAAAATTATAGAACTCCGAACCAAAAGTGTTACAGGAATAGTTTTATAACTGCTACACCTATGTCTTTAAATCACATTTTTGGATTACTGTTATTTTCACCAAATTAACTAAGGGATTTTCACAAAAATCTTATGCACTTTTTTAGCACTTTATTAGCATGTTTTTTTGGTAATTTAAACACATGGAAATATCAGCTGATCATATGTTTTCAAACGGAAGCCATTACCTGTTCATATCTATAATAATGGGAAATTGAATGAATTTACATTGAACAGTAGCTCTAAAATTGTATAAACAATTATTTTTTTGGATTATAAAACTCATAAAAAAGTTTATTTCTTAAAGAAAGAAATTAACTATTCATAACAACTTTTATAATTATTGTTGTTAGAAGAGGAATACGTATCTTATATAATTCACACCATTTTGAAAATATTGTATTTTAAACTAAATAATTAGCATAGACCTGTAGAGATTACACTAATACGAATTTAATATCTAATTGGGCTATTATAAAATACCAACGTAAAATTGTATTCAAACGTATAATTTAACAATAAAATACGAATGACTTGTGTTGTACAGTATCTTACCTCAACAATTGACTTAAAACATGTAAAAGGCTTGAAATATTTATAATGAAAATTGAGAATTGAGATACGGAAACAATTTAAACAGATTCCAGTTAATGGAAAATGCCGCCGTTGGGGAGTATTTCGTCGTTGTCTCTGGTTGATTGTAATGTAAAAATGTCAATATTGTCCAGGGGTAAAATACATTTCTTTAAGAGACAAGGCTACGTCTGTTTATCATTATTAGGTTTCATTTGGTTAACAGCGATAACTTGAATATTATTTTACCCTCTTTCAGATTTATACGTTACAGTAAATCTTTCTTATGGGTAAAAAAGTGATTAAAAAAAGTAAATTAATATTATAATTACTGTAATGAGGTGTGTTAATAAAGGAGTATTACAACTAAAAACATATATCAGTTGATGATAGGAAGTATCTTAAAGTCTTAAGACTTGAGAAACGGCTAGCTACTTTGATTGTTGTTGATTTCCAAACAAATATTAAATCATCGACTAGGCCTATTTGTTTTTTCGTCATAATAAGTAGTTTTTAATTTTTACACTGCACAATATTTCTACTAAAACCATGTGCTTCATGTGTAGTTGTAATCTTAAGCGTGTTTTCAGTTCTCAGGGAGGTACTATAATAAGTTCATTAACATATAGAGCCTGTCAAGCAACAGACACCTTTATATTTTAACCCGATAACATATTTCAGATTTTTTTCCAGACTCAATGATTTGAGTTTCACTCAAAGGCTAGTTGCCGTTTTACACATTTAATAGCCTAAAGGACATTTGGTACTACGTTGTTGATTATATAGCCTTAAAAATAAAATAAAAATAAAATTAACCTCAGAAAGTCATAATGCAACTTCTTACAGCAAGGCTAATATTGACTTGTTTAAAACAAAAAACGATAATTTTAAAACAAGTAATTTCAATTAGGGTAATTTATTTGGGTAGATTACTCAGTAAGCGCCTGCAACTGCCGTGGCGCAATTTAACTACTGAAATCTTGAAGTATCACTTAGTAGTACGGCGCTTTATGACTAAACACGGATTTAATTTTTTTCTCTTGTATAGTTCAGATGTGCTTACTGCTTATGGAATGCACTAGTTTCAATAAAAATATTATTGCAAATATTATTATTATTGTATAACTTATTAATAAATAAAACATAAAACGTACGACTATCTGCATCCACTTTGCTATGACACTGTTGTAAAGGCTGTGTTACGTTATACTATTTAACGTACACAGACAGACTTCTCATTATAAGGGGTGGGCCATAATTAAATTTAAATGTTTGATTAATTGCAGTAAGTAATCCTCATTTCTTATAACCGGAAAAGCGTTATAAACCAAATACCCCCGCCACAGCAAACCTGCCGACTAAGCGAATTTCCTTCCGTCTGAATTGATTTTCAATTTAATCAATTTGCATAACATTAGGTTAAACGAGTACCTAGGTTTGCTGCTTGCTACAAGGAAATGAATAAAGTGCGATTTTTTTGTAAAATATTATAAGCTTAGTAAAACAAAATTAAAACGCCAAGTTTGATGAAAATATATCCATAAACAAGTGTTGAAAATATATAAACACCATTTTACAATTTTTAAATATAAATCTTTTTGGAATTTTCTCCATTACCATAAATTACTACATAAATACTTTTATATATTTAATTATTTGTTTTCTTAAGCTCTTTAAAAATATCTAGAGATAAATTAGGAAATTTTGTGATTTGAGGGTCAAAATGAGAAAAACCTTTTTTACCCCATAAACCCCCGTAAAACCACATTCCCATGGCCCGATCATGCTGGTTCATGAACTCATTCAAGTTCATCTCACCTTACACATGTAAACCACATGTCATCAATGTAACATAATTTTAAGACACACGTATACACAGCTTTTTTTATAAGATTCTTATCGTTTTAGCGTAGTAATTAATAATTCTATCCCCTCCTAGAAGACCAAGGGGACAGGAAAAGCAGTTGCATCCATTATTAGTTAATCGTCTGTCCTAATCTGAGTTCAAACATTCGTATTTATAATTTTTTTTTTTTTATATCTTATAAGAGTTCTCAATATTATCTTAGAATTGCTATAGTTATGTAAACGCAAGAGGGGTTGTTTCATTTTATATTTTGTATATAAGTATATACCTACTATCATATCCCTATCATTAAATATATAGACTTTTTAGTAATGTTAGCATTTGCACTTAGCTAAGGCTGGTTGTTATTTTGTGGAAGGTTAAGAGCGGATGTTCCTAATCGTAGCTACAACGGAGCGTCGTCCACTGCAGAATTTGGCGCCAGAAAACCTAACACCCGCCAAATGCTTGCCGCGTTTTATAATCAAGTCTACCGTACGGTTAAATAACATTTGAGTAGTACTATAATAATAACAGCTACATATAAATATTTGAGACCTCAGCCCTCGATATTTTTGCTTATATATATATTAATTTTAAATGTATGGATAGCCGAGTGGTTTTAGTGCTCGCCTTTGAATTTAAAGGTTGCTGGTTCGACTTCAGGTTCGATTCTGGGCTCAGATGTCATTTGTCATTGGCTATCAATTAATGATGCTATCTAAAAAAATGTTGCGTTTCAAGAATTACAATAATGGTTGGAACCGTCAACCGTTCTCTGACAGAACAAAAAGTATAAAAATCCTAATGGCATAGAAAAATGGAAATTTACTAATAATTGTCTTTCTTTATTTTGTTCAGGTGTCTCCATTTAAGCTTCTAGTCAATAAAAATATATATAACTACATATTATTACCAGAGCTGTTATTATATTAAAGAAGAAATTATAGGGTGACATTTAACCCTGAATTCTTCCCTTTTCTTGTATAGGATATTGTAAAAAAAAAAAAAAAAAAACAGTAGCTTACAAAAATAAAATAGTACGTAGCCTAAGGTGTATGTGTATATGTGCTTTTAACTCATGATTTACTGTAGTATTTTGTTACAAAGAGGTAGAGATAGGCGACTGTTTCTCAAGGATACCGGTCACAGAACAAATCACTGCCATCGCCTCCCTCTTACCTCTCTCCTATTTATTTTGTTCCAATCCCAATGCTTATATATATTGTTCACATATCCTTTAGTGTTGCTATTTTATATGGCACCTTAGACATTGCACATTGTAGTCCTAAACATAATCTGATAAAAAAAATATTGAAACTGTCCCATCAACAAGATTTTTTTTAAATTTAAATACTTTAAGCGAATTTAAAACATTCCTTAACCATAGTCATACTTATTTATAATAATTAACAACAAATAGTACATTTCTTTCCATAGTTTAATTATATTATTAGGTAATTTAGATAAAACTCACATGTAACTTAATTATTGTTGTTTCAGAAAAGGACTGCAATATACTCTGCATATCAAAAAGCAAGACTTTTATTGAGAACGTTAAAAGTAGGTTGAAATTAGTTTAATGCGTGAAGAGCACTTATTTTAAACGAGTGTACAATATTGCGTGACTCGATTCATTAGTCATGAGTTTCATGGTAGAAGGTTGTACTGCCGGAGTGTCTGAAATAAGAGTTAACTCTCACTGAACTCAAACGCATTTAGATAAAACAACTAATCGTATTACGTAGCCAATAGACGAGTATGAGAAGCATCTCGTCCAAGAGTAGTCTCCTGGTGCCTCCATCCCTCCACAACTCTAGTTGTACGCACCCCCGCTACGGCCCTGTGGGACCCACGGCGTCGCTAGGGGGTCTGGTGCAGGGGACCATCATCCTCACATTGTTTGTCGGCATCATCATAGCCAACATGCTGGTCATCATCGTCATCAACAGCAGGAGATACTCCAAGTACATACATGCACAGGTAGGTTTGCATAAAGAAAATATTATAGTATTTCAAAGGCTGTCAACGTCCATCGTTCAATTGATAAACTTATGTCTATAACTTATGTAGTTGCTTATAACTAAAAATTATCTTATAATCTGAAAATAGTGGAAATACAGGGTGATTGATATGTGCCAGCAGTTTTATTCGAAAACTATAAGAGATATCAAAAAAAGTTAAATGGTAATTGCCTTGAATTATTTATTTAAAAAATTGTAGTAAAGTCGAAACAATTATTTTAGCCGCCATTTTTCCAATATGGCCGCCAACTTTGATTTTTCTTATGGAACATCCTGTATTTTATGATATATTCTGGTAGAAAATGTAATTTTAAGACGATTTTATTCTTGTGCTTTTTTTCATAAACCTAACCGTTTCAAAGATAATAAACGTTAAAGTTTTGAAATTTCCGCATGAGAAAGAGTTTCGATAAAGGCCTAAGCAAGCATGCCAGCTTTTTTATTCGAACACCATTCAAAATTTCACAACTTAAACCATTAATATCTTTGAAACGGTTAGGTTTATGAAAAAAATCTCAAGAATAAAATCGTCTTAAAATTACATTTCCTACCAGAATACATCATAAAATACAGGGTGTTCCATTAGAAAAATCTAAGTTGGCGGCCATATTGGAAAAATGGCGGCTAAAATAATTTTTTCGACTTTACTACAATTTTTTAAATAAAAAGTCCAAGGCAGTTACTATTTAACTTTTTTTGATATCTCTTATGGTTTTCAAATAAAACGGCTGGCACACTTATATCAATCACCCTGTATTTATCCACACAAGCTTCGAGACGATATGATTGAACTTAATACTTTGTCTTTCATCATAACGAAAACTCATTGTTGTGTTTAAATAGAAACATTTTGGACAGTTTTGTAACTAGTATGTAAGGTTAAATTCAGGTTTGCTTACAAAATTAATTACCACAACATTGGGAGAAAATCTTTAATAAATAAACCTCTTATTATTTTATTTATTTAAAAAATTGTTTGGAAAAAATATTTATACGAAAATAACAACTTACTTTATTTGCACTTTTTGCAAGAAATGGCTGTTTAAACAATGTAATTATCCTTAATGAAGGTAGTTTTACCTAATCATAACATATTTGGCAATATTTTGTATAATAGATTAATCCAAGTGTGTGTGCACTGTGCAGCCCCGCTACCTGCTGACGTCACTGGCAGGCAACGACCTGGCCATTGGTCTGTTGATCACACCCTTCGGCGTGCTGCCGGCTGTGTATGGCTGCTGGCCCTACAGTGATATGCTCTGTCAGATACAGGTATCAGCTGCTGCACAACGTCATGTGTTTATTTAATCATGTAAAAAAATTAACCTTAGGTATAATTGATAAATATAGTTAGTTTCTGCCTGCATATATGTTTGTTTAAAGTACATACAAAAGCTGTGGAACCAATAGGGCTTGAATTCTATTTCGACGTAAATCATCAATTTGGAAAACACGTGGGCTTATTTATATCCCCGAAATCCCCTCGGGCAAGCCCAAAATATTGAGGTAGAGTATTTTAAATAAATACTGATTAGTCCTTATGGCAACAAAGATAAATACTAAAGTTTTCACATTACCTATATTTTAATTAACTTTGGTTGTATTTCCAAGTGTTATGGGCTCAAGCGTTGTAGCTACTCTGTTGATTAAAGAGAATTTTATAAATGAAACGATGAAATTAAGTTTTATATCTATATTCATTGGTGATTGGGTAATTTTTTTATTACATCTAAAGAATTGGGTATTATCTTTTGTCACGACTCTCTGCTCTAAATTACCTGGAACTTGTATAGTATTAAAATACATGCGTTTCAGTCCATATAATTTAATTTGTTTAATTTAATTTCAATCTTTATTTATTCTTTATTTTTAATTTTTATTTTGGGTTTGTCCCCAAATAACATTGCATCCTAGAATTACCAATAGAGATCGATGGAATTACCTAGTTTAGTTTCTTTCACCGTATGTAGGAGTTTTATAGTCATAGTAATCTAGATACAAGAAATATACATTAAATGTTTGCACAATAAATATACACAATATTTTGCATTTCCTTCTCTTACCGCTGTCTGAATATGTATATTCCTATAATTTCGATAAACCAAATAAATAAACATATATTTATGTTTATGTATTGGACCTCTTGAGCACAATTAAATTTGTTTGTACGTTGCTTGTTGTGAAACACATACTTGGCTGGATAAATCAATGTCAACTGTCCGATTACAACTCAAACTAATGTAACTAAAGTAATGTGCCCAATGAAGGATAGCTAAATTACGTTCCTTTATAAACAAATTATGAGAGACTAGCTATGTTGTATCACATTTTTAAAATCATACTCCTATACTAAAATACGTATCCACGCGAGATGATGGAGATGACATGTTGTGCAATGTGCAGGCATTGCTACGAGGCGCACTGACCCAGCAGAGTGCAGCTATACTCATCTGTATGGCTGTGGACAGGTACAACTGTATGCTGCACCCCGTCAGCTACCACAAGCACTCCAACAAAAAGGTACACTAAAACTACCTAACTATATCTTTATAGCGGCCAACCTTATAGGTTTTTATTTTAGCGTCAATGCATCACAGTGTTAGCCATGGTGGTGTGTTGAAAACATAGTGTCCGGAACAATATATCAGAAAACTTTAATATTGCATAGAGGCCAACGGTTACTTTAAAAATAGATTAAGTAGCGAAAGGGGTTGAGACAAACAATGATCTTATCCACAGTTCCAAACAAGCAATGTGAGACTTTCTCTTCAGCGGGTTCACTTGTTTTTTGTATTTCAATAAATTATATTGCAATGCATTCAGTACCTTGCTTAGAATACTGAATACAATCAAATTGGACGGTTTTTTAAGAGAGCTATATTTTATTTGAGGTAAAATGAATTTACTTTTCTTGGTTTATGAAAATTTAGTCAAACCACGTGTTACGCTTTTTATAAAAGGTTAATTTAATATTTGTTTAAATTCAATAGTTATAATTGAGAATAATGAAAAATGAAAAAATATATAATTAATGTTTAGCTATGTTACAATACATAAAAAAGAATGCAAATATAGTTAGCTGAACTAGTTCACACTTCTTTATGACACCGTGGGAGATATATCAATGACAAATGGGTGGAATGGGTTTTATAATGCTAATGATTTTGCCCTCATTTTTATTAGGAGTGTGCATTAGTTTCACACATTACTTATTTTTTACAGCTTAATATACTGTATTCGTTCATAATATAGTTTAATAAAACAATAATTAAGTCACTTGCACTTAACAAGCTCATCTACCCAGCATATTTTAAATCCTTACGCAAATTTTAACATTCTGACAAAACTAATTCTGGTTATGTATCTGCTACCGTAACTTTATCTTAACTCATGTTTCACCCAATTATTTCAGTCTCTTACCTCTACAATTTAATTTAATTTGTCAGAATATTTATAAATATGATCTACTTGAGCTTTTTAAGTCACTAAGACATTTGATTTCAACCAACAAAAACATGTAATAATACAACTTTTTGAGTTTTTTCGTAATTAATTTTCAAATTAAATGTCCGTATTTTAAAAATCTGTAATAATTGACAAGAAACAAAATAGAGCCAAGTTTGTAAGTGTAGAGATGAGTTTGTAGGTACCTATAAGAGATTGCATGGCGTTGTAAATCAACTTGATGTAAAACAAAATCAGTTCGACTATTTTCAGAACTGGTCATATGATGAAGAGAAAATACATAAGATGTAGACGTGGGCATTGATATTTGAAAACAATTTTCCGCTTTACCATCCACGTTAATGAGATCGTACTTAGACTCGAGTCACAACTAAGACAATGGATCCACCACACACATTCCAGTGTTCCGTACTTACTGTACTTATACCCCAGAACTGTAACGTCTCATCAGACAACTGGTTCAACTTATGTTACAGTTGTAACTCTGTTGTGGTAAGAACAGTGCAATCACCACGTACAGTGCTACTCTATCTAGCTCACTCTAAACACAGACACTCGTTTCCACAAAACCTCAAACTTATCATTCACTCTTCTGTGATAACTGTTCAGAGTTGTGAGTCAACCCCATCATGATGTGTGTTGCTGTAGGTCTTTTGTGCCTCACTCTCGTCACCTCCCTCACCATGTTCTCCACCCTGGTCCTACTCCGAAGAGTTACTACTTCAAACTCTTCATATACCGTATTGCAATAAATATATTGTGTGTTACTGTAGGGATCTTGTGCCTCACTCTCGTCACCTCGCCCACTGTGTTCTCCATCTTGGTCCTACTCCGGGGGAGTTACTACTTCAACCTCTTCATATACCGCATTGCAATAAACACATTGTGTGTTACTGTAGGGCTGCATGGCACTGTTGTGCCTTACTCTCGTCACCTCCCTCACCGTGTTCTCCACCCTGGTCCTACTCCGGGGGAGTTACTACTTCAACCTCTTCATATACCGCATTGCAATAAACACATTGTGTGTTACTGTAGGGCTGCATGGCACTGTTGTGCCTTACTCTCGTCACCTCCCTCACCGTGTTCTCCACCCTGGTCCTACTCCGGGGGAGTTACTACTTCAAACTCTTCATATACCGCATTGCAATAAACACATTGTGTGTTACTGTAGGGCTGCATGGCACTGTTGTGCCTTACTCTCGTCACCTCCCTCACCGTGTTCTCCACCCTGGTCCTACTCCGGGGGAGTTACTACTTCAAACTCTTCATATACCGCATTGCAATAAACACATTGTGTGTTACTGTAGGGCTGCATGGCACTGTTGTGCCTTACTCTCGTCACCTCCCTCACCATGTTCTCCACCTTGGTCCTACTCCGAGGAGTTACTACTTCAAACTCTTCATATACCGTATTGCAATAAATATATTGTGTGTTACTGTAGGGATCTTGTGCCTCACTCTCGTCACCTCCCTCACCGTGTTCTCCACCCTGGTCCTACCCCGGGGGAGTTACTACTTCAAACTCTTCATATACCGCATTGCAATAAACACATTGTGTGTTACTGTAGGGCTGCATGGCACTATTGTGCCTTACTCTCGTCACCTCCCTCACCGTGTTCTCCACCCTGGTCCTACCCCGGGGGAGTTACTACTTCAAACTCTTCATATACCGCATTGCAATAAACACATTGTGTGTTACTGTAGGGCTGCATGGCACTATTGTGCCTTACTCTCGTCACCTCCCTCACCGTGTTCTCCACCCTGGTCCTACCCCGGGGGAGTTACTACTTCAAACTCTTCATATACCGTATTGCAATAAACACATTGTGTGTTACTTTAGGGCTGCATGGCACTGTTGTGTCTTACTCTCGTCACCTTCCTCACCGTTTTGTCCACCCTGGTCCTACCCCGGGGGAGTTACTACTTCAAACTCTTCATATACCGTATTGCAATAAACACATTGTGTGTTACTTTAGGGCTGCATGGCACTGTTGTGCCTCACTCTCGTCACCTCCCTCACCGTGTTCTCCACCCTGGTCCTACCCCGGGGGAGTTACTACTTCAATGCCTCGGGTCTAGCAGCCTGCGACCCCTTCTACACCAGAGCCAGTCTCCGCATTCTCGCCGCTTGTACATTCTACTTCCCCACCACAATGGTGCTCATGTACTGCTACGGCTCAGCGTTCCATGTCAACAAGCTCAGACTGAAACGATCCGTCTCTGCTGCTAGTCCTCAGCAGGAAATATCTACTGCCTCCATGGAAAAGGTGAGTAAATGATACGTGTAGTGTATCCTTTTTGCAATACTCAAATGTTCAGCCATGCCACGTGATTTATAAAAATGTTCCATGTACGATTCGAGAGGTTTGTGCACTCTTCCGTGATTAGCACACGAGAGTAATTTTATTGATTGGAATCAGAAAACATACTAGGTTTCCGATTTTGTTCTATTGTAGCAAATGTCAATTTTTATACTACAATAAATATAGTTTATTTTTAAGTGTTTGTGAAACGTTTTTATGGTACGATTTTTTATTGATTTAACGAATATTACAGTTGATTTTAAAGATAATTTTTTCCAGTATCGTGCACCTACTGCACAGAACAAGTAAAGAAAGCTACTATTCTAAATATCTGGTATCAATAAGTTATGCTATGCATATTATATTAATGGAACAGCACACTATATTATCAATAATATAATGTTGTTAAAACATCCTTGCACAAGGAAATTTTTTCTTGTGTTTACTGTATTTATTTGTATACATATAAGAAAACGTGGAATATAAAGTGTTTTGTTTTTAAGAAGCATTTGGAAATACGTAGGCCTATACGTATTTTTAAAAACTGCACACCAAATACTGTAATACTTACTGTAATAGACTTTTATACTTGAATACTTTACTAATGGCAATCATACGAATGTAGGTATTTTAAGCCAAGTATGAATGGAGTTGAGTCTACACTCATCCTACGATTATGTACTAGGTACGATCTTGTACCTAGCCTTCTTAGGGACTTAGACCACTTAGACAACGCTGTTAATTATTAGCACATACAGCCAATGGCGATAAGGGACCTACACTTTATAGTAGAATCCGAACCACATTTTTGCCTTTTAGTTAACGAATTGGTCTCATTATTATGATATTACTGCGGATAGTCGCTTACTCACTAGTGCGGACGTTAATCTAAACCAGGAAGTATTATATCCACAGTTCACGCCTATATATATCACCAGCTTGTGACCTCCTAGTCGCTTGGATTACAGGACGTCGACGCAAATCCAGTCTAATAAAACATATTATTAACACAAGATTGTATTAAATATTGCCTCATACTGAACTAGTTTTCAAAATAACTTATGAAGGTTCTTTTACATTGGTGATACATTCAAATGAAAGAAATACATAGGACTAAATAGAAAGTCTAGCTTCGATGTAGAGCAGTCTCATATTCTTTCCTTGGGTACGAATATGATTAATTGTAAGTTAGCGGATTTGAATCACATTGTTATTTCAGTAAAACATAGAAATGACAATTGTACATGATGATCTACTTCTTCCATCGCTAGTTCAAATTTAAGTGATACAAAGAAATCGTGTACCCATCACTCAGGTCCTAAATCAATATTTTTGTTCATATATGTAAAAGTTCGTCCCTAAAATAAAATATTTGCCTATCGAAGGTTAAAGAGGTTAAATGTAAGAAAGTGTTAACTTTGCCTCTGTAAATAAACAATAATTCATTTCATTTCATTTTTAATTTCAAACAGCTTATAAGAAGTATGTGAACCCTGCAAAATGATAGCACAATTTTAAAAAGTTTTAATTGACCGATAATTATTATTATGGGGGGTTTTATTCCTCGCTTCAAGAAAATATGTTAAATTTGTTGATTTACAATATCAAATAAAAAGTGGAAATACCATTTAACGTGTAGTATCACATCTTCAATGTAGTTATCTTGTAAGTTATAAACACAAATGTGTGCGTGTCGGTCACTGTCAGTGGCCTAGTTATATATACTTTTTAAAGTACATGGAACTGTGTAACAGAAATAAGGGTTTGATGAATGAGAGTAATTGGCTCAGTAAAGTCTAGACTGGTTTTAGAGAAAAGTTGAAACAGCTTCAAACTTTACAGGAGAACACTAGTATCTCTTACATAGAGTTGTAAAAGTTAGGTCAGAGTGCAGTTTGTATTGTATCTTCTTTGAAACTAGAAGTTCTGTTAAACAAGTAGGTCTTACTACTCAGAGACTTCTCTCATGAAACAAAAACTTATAAACATTGTTTTCGTACACCACACGAGTGCCCATTATCTATTTATGTTTTATAGATCTTGGTGACTGAAGTCTTAGACAGTGTGGAAAGAACCCACATATGTGTTGCAACAGTATCCAGTACCAGCGGACCATGGTCGGTGGTATTTAATTTGTTTCGGTCGTAAAAAATATTACAAAACCAATCTAACAAACTGGTCGACGTAAGGTAGTAACAGGACCGTTACCTTTGGAAACGTAAAATATGCCACTGACGTAGAAACACACAAAACCAAATGAACTGATATCTAACAAATACCGTGTTTTATCATGACCGATTGAATTTGTCAAATAATGACTAAAATGTACGTAATAAAGCTTTACTTTAGCATGAGATCGTACTTTATTGTTTTTATTCAAATATTGATGCCGTTTATACCATTTTTTACAAAGCAACACACCGAAGTAAAAAGATTAGTGCGTAAGCAACACAAAGCAATCTTAAAACAATATTACATCCACTCTAACTTATGTAGAGTGATTATCTTACTCCTATGAGTAGGCGAAGTTACAGCCAAATTTAATTGCCTTTGACTGAAGCATAATTACTCAACACCCAACAACTGCTAAAGAAAAGGAAATAATATGAATATCCACGAATCCCACTTCAAACCTGACTTATTTATTTATCTAACTCTAAGGATAAAATCTCCTTAATAAAAGTGATGTTGCAGTTGATGGCCCATGAGCGACGACTGAGTACCAATGCCTCTCGCACCATGGCGGCCATGTCACTGGGCTTCATCGTCATGGTCACCCCATGGACCATCCAGGAAGTGGTTGTGGCCTGCACTGGCTCCAAGGTAAAAACCAATTCAGCTGTCAATCTCTGTTATTAATATCAGTTATAAAAATATCCTTTTTCAGTGTGCAGAATGAAACACATCAGCACAAGAAGATTCACAACGTTAAATAAATCTGGCTTCCCGGCTTTATCTTTGAAGATATTTTTGTTATTTCTGATTAATCGTTATAATATTTCAAATTATATCTTAAATCATAAATGACCGTAACCCAAGTTATTTTATTTTTAGATGCCGCCTTTCTTGGATTTTATGATTACTTGGCTAGCACTCAGCAACAGTTTCTGGAACCCATTTCTATACTGGCTGCTCAACAACAATTTCCGAAGGATTAGCAAGGAAATTTTCCTGCAAAAGGTAAACTCTCTGATTGTGATCATATAGCTATATAGAATTACCTAGCATCTACAGTAGTAGTAGTCTAATAGTCTGTTACTATAGCCTACAATATTTTTTTGGACTGGGAACATCACAAAAATGTGAATGTGGTGGGTGGACAGGCAATAAATAAACTCGTATTTTTTTATCCAAAGTACATAAAGGTATAATGGAACTTATTCGTTTGGGACAAGTATTCAGTGCAGTATTTGAACTATTAATTATGCAACGAACAATCTAAAAAAGGTTACTGGCACTGAAATATAAATAATCTGTGGTTTTAGGTGTTGTGTCGAAAGCCTAAAAAACCCAGTGAAGCGGCCATTCGTTGCTGCACGTCGACGGGTCCAATCGCAGCCGCAATAGCCAGTCGCAGTGACCTGGAGGGGATGAGTGAGCGGTATTGGGGTGAGATCCTAGAACGCACAGTGAGTAGTAGTAGTCTACAGGCTATGTCACGCGGTGTACCCCCACCACTACCTCTCCCCACTGCCGCAGCTAGTAGGCGCACCCAGTGATGCGCGCTGTTTGGCTGGTCTTTCCACTGTTCCATCACCAAGGAGTCGTTTAGCGACCAGAACTGGTGTGAGGTGCATGGCATCAAGACCCACAGCACACTCTAGTGGTGACCAGCTTGTACAAAACTACCGACTATTTCAAAGACCGTTTGTGTTAAGATTTTAACTCATCTCCATTCGAATGTTACTTTTATAGTCTACCTTTCCTTGAAATAAGACAATCACATGAACTGCAATAACTTATAGATTTTATTTAAGACTGTTTATAATCTAAGATTAGTAGCTCACATAGTTTTAAAGTTTAGTTGTGTTGATGACTGTATTTTAAGGTATCTGTACAAAGATAAAGCCCAACTTAATTAACACGTCATTACTTTATTTTACTTTATAATGTAATGTTAATGTGGTATTTAACAGTTATGGACACGTATTATTGATTAAAAGTGTATCTTAGTAATAATAATCTATTGGTTTGTCTTTGCTTTAGTCCAATGAATCCCAATATTAAATATCGAATAACCAACTTTTTTTTAACACAAATTCTTCAAATTGTCAATAATAATCGGGTAATAATTGTGTTGCTTGATAATTTGAATGCTTATTATGTGCTTGTTTTATTAAATTCTAATTTATTTGGTATTTTATTAATATAGTCTAAAAATGGTTGTTGAATCGTAATATTGACTGCCTATACCTCTATAAAAATGTTAAATACCGTAAATGTAAATTTTCTAGGATGAAAGTTGTTATTGATCCTTCTCCATATCAACTAACCTAACTAGGCTATCATACTTGCGTAGGTTACTGTTCGTCGGTGAGTGTATATACACGCAAACAATTTGTATATTTGTATGGTTTGTAAATAAAAGATGTACTGAACACAATCAGTTTGTATTCTTCTAATATTATTACCCTTGGGGATTATGTAAACGAATGTTTTGTAACTGATAATAAATTCTGTACCTAACTCTTGTGTATGGAATCTTGTTGTGGTGGCTTATAAACTTGTATAAGACGATAGTAAGGTTTAGACAATAAAACTAACCTCCTCTTAACAAAATAGCGGCCTTGTATATTTTTAATGGACCGTCAATCAGTCTTCAGGTGGTGTACGTATTCTTGTCAGATGTTAGGCAATTACAAAGGTCAACTGTCCTCTCCAGACCACCTCATCACTCACGGTACCTTCATCAACCGGCGAGTTTGTGCTGCCATGTGGGTTCAAATTGTTTTCAAGTCAATTCGATAATAATTGTTACATCTTACTATGACAAACACTTTATTACTATCGTACATGTTTAAATTGAGTGATCCATTGTTGGTCTAAAACTTGAACTGAAGAGGGTTATGTTGATAGATGAATACTTCTTGATCATGTTATTTACTTAAAATGTAACCCAGCGGTAGAACAGAAAGCCCCTTATAGAAAGATCTTAGTAGGCTGTGGGATTTTAGTTAATAATTAGTCGTAATCAGAACTTTTGTATTTTAATTTTCTAGTCAATGTTTACTCACGCTATATCCGGTTTAAACTTAGTTATGAAGGCCCGAGACGTCACTAACAAGAGATTGATTTTCTCATGTCGATTGGCTCGGACAGGGCTAGTGATCGTTCGTAAGTACGTTACGTGGAAATGTAGTGTGTCTAATTAAAATCTAACCCAGACATGATTTGAAAAGTTTAATTATTAATTTGAACACTTACAAACCAAATAATATAAAGTGATCTACCCTTTTCCATTTTCATCTCTACTATTTATTCAAAAATGAAACACAATCAAAATTACAATGATTCATTTTAAATAAAATACTGACAAGCCCAGCATGAGTTTTTATTAAAAATTACAAATAAGTGTGAATTTCACAATGATAATTATTGCTAGATAAAATATTTATCCATGAACAATCATTTAACATTACGATTTGAACAAATCACAATTTAAAAGCTGTGAATGCGCGTGTATGCAAATCAAACAAAATCCCGAACTTTATTGTTTTAACAGTCAGATATTAGATATCTTTGTCGAAGTTCATATTAATTTAAATCTGCAGCCTAGGGCTACCCAAAGTTCCGCTGAGTGAATTCCACTTTTTTAGTGGAAATTACTTCATAAACTTAATTTTAAATGTTGTGTTAAGATCCATTTTGACACAAATATCCTGCCAGCCTGAAAACGCTTCAATATTCCAGTTAAATATTAACTGGATATTTATTGGATTAATAAATATAATATCTATGTGTTTTGTATAAATGATTTTTTAAATTGTGTAATGTTTAGAAAGGAGTTGTACTTTTTGATTAATTTATTTTATTTATTTGAACGGTTGTTTCATTAATACTATTTTGTCAAAAAAGAAATTTACAAGATGCATTTTTAAAATTCTTTTTAAGCGTTTTTTGTATTGGTTTACAACTACTTAACATATAGTTACATAATTAATAATAAGGAAACAAAGGACATAAAAAATGTGCAGGAGGCTAATGTTAATGTTGTATAATTATTCTGACTTTCCATGTAAAAAAAATGCACCTATGACCAGTGCTACTGCTAATAGAAGCTCATTTATTTATCTATTTATTTTTTGACCAACGGCTGACGCCAATACATTAACATTTATCTAAAGTTATCCTAAATAGTTACATGATAGGTTAAATCGTTCGTCCTTAACGCTAAATAGCATTAACCTACGAGCCGAGCGTTTGAAATGGAATAAAGAATGGCAAAAGAAAAACAATCATCACTCAATAGAATGTAAAACGTTTCACCCTACCTTTATTTCTCCACTGTTACACTAGGTGTAGGCTTTCACACGATTTGCAATACCAATCCCCTTGCTTTCCCCTCACCGGCTCCTCACACCCATTTGAGATAAAGTGGCACATTCATTTTACCTATCCAATCACTTTCTTCTATTAAATCAATATACGCACATTATTATTTCACAAACTATTAAATACTAAAATAAAAATTGTATTTATTAACTCTTTTTAAAACACAACATTATGAATTGTAAACGTTCACATATGATAATGTTAGAACCTGTGACCTAGCTCTACTCTTAATTTCGTTTACATTGTACTTTCAAACTACATTTACAAACAGGAATATTTACCCAACATTTTCATCTGAGAGGAGTACATAATACCAAGCTGTTAGTCCGTCTGTCACTGTAATGATGTCATTCAGCGAAACGCTTTCTTCATGGCAGATGTAATCTGTTAAAAGAGTTGAATTTTTATCCAACACTTAACAAAGAAGTTGTTAATATTTATATATTTATTTAATTTAAATCTGAAGAGTATACAGTGATACATAAATATAAAATACGGTTATCTTTGATTTATATCATTCTATTGTATCTTAGTTTGTTTACGTCCATACTTGTCAGTCCATTGTAAAGAGGTTTTGTTACATTTTTTATAGGGTTACGTCATCATATGACGGGAATAGCACACCTATGTATTTTCCTTCCACCATGGTTATTTGATAGCTGTATAAAGTTCATTATTAATAACAACCGTAGGCATGCACTTGACGAAAGATTCATTTGGGCAAGTACGGACCATACCTCTCTAACATGGCAGCTCTGTCATTACTTACAACCAAGCAACAGTAAACCAAAGATCTGTCTACCTGATCAAATTCAATGTTAATCTCAGTTTGTACCTTTTGTTATACCTCCAAAGTGTAGATGGTGTTACTATCCCGTATTTTTACAACCAATACAATAAATTATATACTGTTGAATGATTCAGTACTCACTTGAAGTTAATTTTAGTATCCATACAATTATAAGTAAATATTGTTTTTAGTTGTGCAAATAGGATATTTGGTACAGTTCATGCAAGATAAAAATAATATCTAGTGGCTGATTAGCAAAAAGTAATATTTATGTAGTGAGTGCAGACTTCCAACATTACCAGGAGTTAAACGAACAAAGTGAATTCCCAAGGTAACGTGTGCATTATCAACTCTGTCAAGTGCGAGAGGTCCCTCAGGCCAACCACGACTAATTAATTTTCTATCTCACGTACAACTGAATTATTACAGAAGCAGTGTGAAAATATGTCAACATGTATCAGCATAGTAGATACTTACTGTTTACATTTAAAATAGCTATACTTAAGGTCACACATTACAAACAACTCGTACTTAATTAGTAACGGTAGAGTAACTCGTGCAGTGAGCTACATAACCAGAAAAGATAAGCCTTTTAAACTACTTAAAAAAAGATTATAAATCCTCACAAATATTCTATGATAATCACCATGGAATAAAAAAATCTTTTTGTTTTATAAAATATTTAACATATATTTCATCAGCTGTGCCATTTTATATTTAAAATGTTAATGCAAATTTGATACCTTAAGTGACGTTGCCTACCCGACAGCCTGAATTCAATTCAAGATGGTGGATTGGATGGATTTAAATATAGTTCGTGATTGAACATGCCTCTATTGTACAAGCTCTCCTAATTCGAAAATCAGATGGTTTCCAATGACCATGTACCTTATGTGCTCTTAACATAACAGAGCTTGTATTGGAAGATAAATCTATTTTTTATCTATTTTTAACGGAAAAAGACTAATTTACGGACATTTAAATTTTTTTTGTTAATACTTAAATAGAAAATTTCGAAGTTTCAGTTCATCCAGAATATCGTTTGGATCTTTGTGAATAGTTTACCGTTTATTTAAACTCGATTAACACTTCAATGATGCCACGAGGGTCATTTTGTAGGACCATGATTACGCGGTAACCAGCTGGTGGGTGGAACCCTTTTAACGGTATTATAAAAACCAACCAATTAAATAACCTTGCTTTCTTAAACAAGTAACAATATTAAGGATTTTAAGATCCAGCATTAGTAAGAGACCCGTTTCTCCATGTTTTAAAATTCATTCCCAAAGTTCCACGTTGATCAGCTCAAAAAAATACATTAAGGACATACAGAAATAAATACATTAGGTTTTTAAAAAGCTTGATTTTAGAAAAACACATGAATAATAAAAGAACGGCATTGAACATTAATTTTTTGTTCGCTTGTTGATTCGGAATAAACCGGCGCCCAATCTTCTTATTGATTGAGTGTTAAGTGAAAATCTGTATTAAAGCTCGAGCGAGAGTTGCAATTGAAACACTAAACACGAACAGGAAAAGGGAGGAGCGTCTGGTGATGTGATAAATGTGTTTACCAGTCTGAATGTGTCCTGCTCATAATGTGGGGCCATTGCGATCCCGAGACACCTTTGTTTTTTTTTTTTTTTTTTTTTTTTTTGGAGTTATTCCATTTTAACCCCAAAGCTGTATTATGTTAGCTGATGTGCACTCACAAATTGCTTTAAAATGTTTCAGCCTTAAACCTACAACCTTTAGAATTCTAGTGTAACAAATTTACTTAGCAACCCAATCATGTATTTTACATGTTTCCAACATTTACATAAAATTATTCATCGGTTTTACAACGTCTGCACCAATACTCAGTGGTCAGACTACTTTAGCCCCATTGGTAGTGCCTCGCCGTAGCGTCGGGGTTACGAATGCTCGTCTAATGCTAACACTACAGGTCACTGAGGGACGATTGCCGGGACCCAATCTCCGCCAATGGCCAATAGATGGCTTGATACCCCATGCCATCCCATACCATCCCCACGCATGCCATATATTGTGTTTGTGGCTTACACTAGGGATGAAACTATTGACTAATCTAGTGTATTAGTAACATTTGGTATCTGTCTTCTCTGCATGCAAGAGTTATCTACGATCAATGTTGATCGATGACAGAGAAGCTTCGAACAAATGTATGGTATGAATCTTCTAA